AGGGGGATAACGGGAAGGGTCATCAAGGAACATGTATAAGGACCCATGGACGAAGCCAAAGGGGATAGGATTGAGGTTGGGATGTGGGGGTGGGGTGGGGGAAAATGGTGGTGGGAAAACGGAAACAACTGTACTTGAATAATAATAAAATAAATAGTAATTAAAAAGATACACTGCAATGAATTTTAAAGTAAATTTCCCTTGTAGAATTTTCTAGGCTATCTTTTATTTCCCTTTTCCCTAATTTGTTTGAAAACTAACTTCAGATATTTATTTGGTAGGCATTCCTAAGATTTTTGGCTTTTCTTCCTTTATTTTCTTTTTTTTTTTTTTTTAAGATTTTATTTGTTTATCTTTAGAGGGGAAGGGAAGGAGAGAGAGAGAGAAACATCAATGTATGGTTGCCTTCGTGCGTCCCCTGCTGGGAACTGGCCTGCAGGGAACCAGCCTGCAACCCAGGCATGTGCCCTGACTGGGAATCGAACCGAGATTGTCTGGTTCGCAGGCCGGCGCTCAATCCACTGAGCTATACCAGCCAGGGCCTCTTCCTTTATTTTCTAATGTGAAAGAGAAGCAGCTGGGAGAAAACAGAACAAATTTGGTTGGCCCTGATACAAATTTCAACTACTTATATTCCACAGCTACCAAACATTTTTTTTAAACAGTAACAACCTTAGCCACAATCTAAATTTTATTATATCAGCAAAACTTAGACACTCTGAAATCAAAACTATATCAAGAGTTCAATGTAGTTTAGTGGTCATGTGAATTTATAAAATGACAAGAATTACAGGATAATCCTCACTTTTTTCAGTGCATTTCTGGAAAATGTACTTTAAACAATTCTCATTTTCCCACAGGGATCTAACATTGCATCATGTTCCTGCACAGCCACTCTCCTGTCTTGGCTGTGACTAGCAACATAGTATAAAAGCAAATATAACTTGATAAACCTATAATAAACTTAATAATAAAATTATGTTATAAGTGCTATAGATTTTGAAAAATGTTTTATCTATATTTTTCAGATTATACTCAAAGCAGCCTACTCAATGTTAAAACGTTGGCAAGTAATTTAAAATGTTTAAGAGATAAAAATTTTGTGGCGGTTAAAAAAACATGGGCATAGGATTTATTAGGCATCAGTTTTTAATGTTTCTTGAAGTTCAGTCTTGAGCTTGAAGAAACAAAATGATACTAGGATGAGTAATTTGTCCAAGATTATACAGTAAGCAGAGTAAGAGACCATACTAAAACCCAGTCTTGATGAATTTAGTAAATGTTCCTTTTGTGTCAGGGAAGGAACACTGACAATGCACTTTAAAAAAGGGATAAGAACTATGGTACACTTACACAATTGAATACTATGCAGCAGAAAGAAAGAAGGAGCTCCTACCCTTTGCGACAGCATGGATGGAACTGGAGAGCATTATGCTAAGTGAAATAAGCCAGGCAGCAAAAGACAAATACTATATGATATCAAGTATAATAGCAACCTAAAGAACAAAACAAACAAATGAGCAAAATAGAACCAGAGGCATGGAAACAAGGAACAGACTGACAGTGACTAGAGGAGAGGTTGAAGGGGGTTAAGAGTGGAAAAATGGGAAAGGGATTAGTCAAGGAATGTATGTGAATGGCCCACGAACTTGGACAACAGGGTGGGGATCGAGTGTGGGAGTGGAGAGTAGGAGGGGTGGAGGAGAGCGAAGGGAGAAAAACTGAGGTAACTGTGATAGAACAAAAGCAATTGTAATAAAATTAAAATATAAACTGTAATAGAATTTTAAAAATGGATAAGAAGACCATGGGAAGGGAGAAGACATTCCTTGCTAAAGGAACTCCAAGAGCAGAGCTTCAAGTGCCTATAATCAGTGAAACCAGATTTCCTAAAATGTGGGGAGGAAAGTAAACTTGAGCCTCTGATCAAAGGGAATCAACCACATGTTTACCTTGCACAGGTGGTGCTGGCTGCTCAGAACTCCCCCTGCTTTGGCCTTTTAAATTAATTTGTTCAAACTTTTTTGTTTGAGCTGCTATATTCACATACAACGGAGAATATAAATGTAAGCAGGTTTTCAGACACCAGAAAAGGAACAAAACTTAAAAAGTAGAGTAAATGTAACATATATTTGATATAAAGTGAAGATGCTAACTACAACAGCAACAAAATAATTTACTAGTAAGGTTGATTGCCTTAGAATTTTGCTGGGCTTGGGGACTGATTTAAATGAACCACACAGCTTAAAAACTGTCCAGGGAGGTTTTACTGATGACTTGTTTCTGATTAATTTCCTTCTCACAAGCAAAAAACTTTAAATTATACTGTTAACCTTACTGAATGCTCAATATTATGTTTGTCCTTTTCAAATTTAGACATTGCAGCCTTTAAATATTTAAAAGCATCATTAAGCATTTCAGTCATGATGGGTTGAAGAAGGGTCCCTTCTTACTCCTATTCTTTTTATTCTATCTACATTCAAGGAGGATTTATTCAAGGAAAACACAGGACTTTCTTTAGCCTTAGTTGGGAGGTTTACCTCCTTCTTTTCCTTCCCTTCCAAGCCTGGAGAATATTTGTCAGAACAGCCTTCTCTGGAACTAGAATCAATAAAGGTGATGAGAAAGGAAGTTCAGGTGTCCATTGGGCAGACTCGAGGGAGCAAAGACACCCAATGTGCTGGACAAAAAAGTGTGTCTGATACTATTTCCAAGTTGACAACTAAAACTATTAATATTTTTGACTATATACTCCAAACACACTCTTTTTTGGACAAGAGAAACTTTTCTTTTTTAAAATTTTAATAGCCTTTCCTACCCTGATATAGCATATTTCATTATCACTGAGTTTGTGTTGCTGTCTGCACATATGTTGGTTTCAGGTAAACATAGACATACAGTAATTATGTGTAATGGATAGTTCTCCTTATTTTTTCTCATATTTCAGAAATATTTAGTTTCTCTGATTCAAATATTAGTTTCACAAATGAATTAATCACATGCCTTATCCTTTAATATGTACATAGTGCCGAAGTGTCCTCATCAAATGATCTTTCCTTCGTCTGGTACTAATATAACATAGTGATTGAAACCTGGGCTTGCTGCTTAGCAGCTGTTTTGTTATCTTAGACCAGTTACTCACTCTCCGTGTACCTCAATTTCTTCAATTGACAATGGGGGTATAATAATGATTCCTCATATATTTATTATAAGGTCAAATGGGTTCACATTATAAAACATCTTATGTGTACTTATAAAATAAATAAAATAACTTCCCCCTTCTAAATGTATATGCAGATACCCATCTATCTCTAGACTTCTATTCAATCAATAGACTAATTTGCCATCTTTTTCTTATCTTCATTTCTCTTCTCCCTATTTCCATATTAGGTTTCAGAGGGAGAATAGAATAAATTACTGGAAAGACTTGCCTCTGCTTGATAACTTTTCAAACCTGATTACAGACCAGTTAGTGTCTTATGGGAAGCAAATAACAAATTCAGTTCAATGCCAGTGGCTTAAATTGGCTCACAAAGTAAGGGGTTCAGGGCCAGCTTGACTCAGTGAGTATAACATCTCTGCAGTTTTCTTTGGCTTTGATCCTTTTAGTATGATGGGTTTTTCCTGAATTTGCCTTGCAAAATGTCTTTAGAGGTTCCAGTCTCCATATGATGGGCCTATAGAAGATGAAAGGGGGTCTATTTTGCTTTTGTTTCATGATTTCCTCACCCATATTAGGTTACAGGATGATTTCTGAAATAATTTTTGAAGCTAGGGGACCACCATGAACTAATTGAATTAGGTGAACCAGTCTCTTTAATATGGGGGATGGCATTATTCTTAGAAAGTGAGGCCCAAACTCTGGCGCTAGGGCCCATCAACTTCCTTTCAAAAACATTGATAATAGTGGGAGTGTGGGATGCCTGAACAAGAGTGGGAGTGTGTTAGCAAAGAGGAAGGAGGAATGGATACTGTATACACAGCTCTTGACGTCTATCTAATACATAGGCTATATTTTCTACATGAGAAGATGTCTGAATGGGGAGACAATTGTGGTGGGTGCACTTTCAAACTCCATAAAGTGTTTTTTAAAATTATATGCTTCATTTTTAGGATGTATTTGGTTTTGAAACTGGGCATACTGAAGACATGATCAGCCTTGTGTTGATGTCCATGTGTTGACGATGGCACCAGGGAGTCACTCATCTAACTGTAGTTCTGGGCTTATTTAAAAAATCATTTATAGTATTACATATTTTTAAATTTTATTTTGAAATAATTTTAAACTTGTGGAAAGTTTGCAAGGATAGTACAATTAACTTCTTCTCTGAACCCTGTGTAAGTTACCAACATGATGCCCACTATACCCCCATACTTATGTGTAATCCCCAAAGCAAGGACATACCTGAGAACCCTATACTTATCAAAATCAGAAAATTAACATTGCTATGCTACTTCTAGCTGGTTTTCAACATCATTTATGTTTTGGCAGTTGTCCCAATAATGTGCTTTACAGCTAAAAGATCTAGTCAATGATCAGGTGTTGCATTTGGTTGCTTTTTAATCTTCCTTAATATTCAATCTCATTCATCCTTGACTTTCATGACTTTTATAGGCCATTCACTTGGTAGAACACCCCTCAGTCTGGGTATGTCTGTGTGAGGTTTTCTCATGATTAGATTTAGGTTACATATATGGGGCAAGTATATCACAGAAGCACAGACATAATGGTGTGTTCTTTTTATTGCATTTATCAGTGCTCTATGATTTTAATTTGCTCCATTATTGGTGATGATCACTTTGAATCCTTGATTATGGTAGCATCTGTCAGGTTTCTCCACTGTAAAGTTATTAAATTCTCTTTATAATTAACAGTAGCTTGGAAGAATTTCTGCACAAAGGTAGATTGGCCTTCTGGGCTAGCTTAATGCGATTCTTTTATTTTTGCAATTTCATTAGTTCTTTTTACATGTAAATATGTAAATATCTTATTCTTCTTTTAAAATACCAAATACTTCACAAATTTGCCTGTCCTCCTGGCACAGGGACTGTACTAATCTTCTCTGTATTTTCCAGGTAAATATCTCATTCTTTGTCAAATTTATCCATTAGTTTTAGTATCTATTTATATTTTGGCTGAATTATTATGATAAAGATTGCCAATTGTTTAATTTTTCTAATTTAAGCATTCCTTCTCTATTTATAACTGCCATTCTAGGCAATTATTATTGGCTCCTATTTACTTATTTACTTGTAAGTTTCCTATTTCTTTATTTACTTATTTCTATAGATATGAGCTTACAAATTACTATTTTATAAAACGAGCTATAATTTTGTTTTTTGATGTTCACGTTGTTCTTGAGTTGGTCAGTGGAAGTTCCTTCATGTTGACTTTTGTGTCATTTCGACTCGAGGACTGTGTCATTGTCATTCACTGGGTACTTTATTGTTCTCTCACCTAGAAAGTTGTTCCAGACCTGTCTTGTATGTTTCCAACTTCAACCCCAGAATCAGACATTTCTCTAATGGGCTTGGCTTTTTTAATAGAGAACATTATTTAGAAACCAAGATTTAGGTGTTAGGTATGCTCATTGCGAGTGGGGTTTCACTATTCCCAGGGTCTCTCAGTCAGAGATAGAGAAAATATTCCAGTTCTTCAATATTCTGAAGAATATTTAATACTTCAATATTTTGTTTCTTAATTCAGCATACCAAAATCTAACTTTAACTTTCTTCGAGGGGTAATTCTGTTAACTATCTAGAGGACATTGGGTCATACACAAAATGCTTCCATGAAATGTCCAACTGTCTTAGTTTCCAATGGCTGCTGTAACAAATTAGCAGAAACTTTGTGGTTCAAAATAACACAAATGTATTCTCTTACAGTTGTGGAGGCCAGAAGTCTGAAATCAGTTTTACTGGGCTAAAGTCAAGATGTCACGGGGCTGATTCCTTCAGAAGGCCATGGAAGAGAGTCTGTTTCCATTTGCTAGAGGCCACCCGTGTTCCTCGGCCTGGGGCCGGTCCCTCTTTCTTCAAAGCTCATCCCTCTAATCTCTACTTTTCTCTTCCAGTCTATGCAACAGGGTTTTTCTGGTTCTGACTCTGACTTCTCCTGCTTCTCCCTTGAGATTACATTGGGCTTGCCCTGATAATTGCTTCACCTCAAAATGTTAAATTTAATCTCATCTAAAAAGTCTCTTTTACTATGGGAGGTGAAATGTTCACAAATTCCAGGGATTAGAACATGAACATCTTTGGAGCCACTGCAACACAAACACTCAGCTAATGTGTTTCAATTTTCTTATTATTTGTGGATTAAATTTCACTTTTGAGTTGTATTAATCAGGACACTTTCATTTGAAAGTGTTAAAGTCATGGGCTCCCGTGAATAAAACTCACAGTGATGTCTGCCACAGGTCCTGTTGAATCCAGAGGGTCAAGGATATTGAGCGGAATCTTTTTCTCCATCCTGCAGCCTGCTCTCCACTGTGTGTGTGCGTGTGTGTGTCCTTAGTCTGGCTCTAATCTTCCTATTGGCAAGAAAGCCTCTAGTAGCTCCAGGATTTATTTTTCCCATTCTGGAACCCTGGACATGAACAGATTCTTTTTCCCCTTATAGTATTAATAAAATCTAGTCAAGTGAGTTTCACTGATCCAATTTTAATGGGACTCTATAAATCAAAATAGTTGCTGCTCTTATTGAAACTGCAATAATTTTATATACTTTTAATTTATATACCACTTAATATATTGTTTTTTTATTCACTCAAGGTTTTTCTAAATTCCTTCCTTTCTCTCAACTTTTCTTTCTTCCTTTCCTTCTTTTCTTTCTTTCTTTCTTTCTTTCTTTCTTTCTTTCTTTCTTTCTTTCTTTCTTTCTTTCTTTCTTTCTTTCTTTCTAAATATTTCCTCACTTAAAAAAGAATCAGATGGCTTATTTGTGATTTTTACTGCTTTTTAAGTTTTTGTTTTAAATTTTAAACCTGTTTTGAAAGATAAAAATTTACAAAGAAAATGTGATTATGTAATAGTTCTTTATCATTTCAATAATGTACTTATTATTAAATTGAATAGATTTGCTTTTATTAAATGATTTTTATAATAATGCATATATGTAAATTGTTTTACATCATTTTCTATCATGTGTCAGTGAACCCTGAGGTGAGAATATAATGTGTGCTTGTTGTAGACATTTAAACATATAAAAATATGAAAAATATACTTACATGAAAGAAGTTAAAAGCTTATAGGTTGTTTGAAGTTTTTCTGGTGTTATTTTCTTTGATTTTCATGTTGCTTCTTTCTTTTGTTTCTACATTAAAATATTTATGAAGTGTAGATTTGGACCACCTGCTGATCTGAATAAAGAAGTATAGTATCTTTAGTGGTTGCTCTTTTTAAAAATTTTCTAATACCAAATGTCCTATTTTCAGGAAAAAGTACCAGTTATTTTCAAACAAAGCAAAGCTTACTTGAATAATAAAACATTTTTAAAATTCAACTTTAGCCCTGGCTGGTATAGCTCAGTGGATTGAGTGCAGGTCTGCAAACCAAAGGGTTGCTGGTTCCATTCCCAGTCTAGGGCACATGCCTGGGTTTCAGGCCAGGTCCCCAGTAGGGGGCACAAAAGATGCAACCACACAGTAATGTTTCTCTCCATCTCTCCTTCCTTTCCCCTCTATCTAAAAATAAATAAAATCTTTAAAAAAATTCAACTTTATACAAAGCAAGCTTCATTAACCTTTCTAATATTAATTTTTTAAGGTACAAAACTTATATTTTTAGTTGAACCAGACCTTATAAATATTTTAATGCCTCTTTAATTAGAATTTATACCCCTTTGAGGGAGAGAGAAGGAGAAAATTTATAGGACTTTAATCAATACCTTTAGACTGATTGATATCCACATTATAAAGCTGAACAGTGTTACTTAGCAATGACTCCCTAACTGAAGAACCACAAGAGGAATTTGCCTATTTCATATTGTGGATGTCCAATTCATATGTGACAGACAAAATACCCGATGCATTATTGTCTATAGATGCTGTTATATTTTACATAATAAAACAATATTTTTCTTTTGGTTTAGAGTAAAATCACTTTGCTGCAATAATGGGGCACAAAGAGGGTGTGCAGTCATTGAAGCAACTTACTTTTCATCTCCCATTATTCTTTAAAGACTTACTAGGGGGTCTTTTCTCCAGCTCTGTGGATAAACCTCAGGCTACTTTCATGACTTTTCAGGTTACTTTTAGGTCCTTCTAATTCCTCATATAATCTCAGGCCATTCAAATATTTATTTTCATGAAATAGAATTTTCAAGTTCATTAAAGTTTAAGATTCTTCTCTTCATTAGATTGGGCCACTAGCTGTGCAAAAAGGGGAAAAGGGGCTGGTTAGCTTCTTTATTTCTCAGGAGTGCTTCTCCTTCCAAACTCCAGAAGCTGCCCTTCTCATTCCTCCTCTAGAGTTCAGAGGTATGGGGAGAGCAAACACACACACACGCATGTGCACCCAGTCTGTCCGGAAAATGTCCAGCCACTGTTAATAAAACAAAGACAGGTCGTGCAATATTGATGTAACCTGGCAGCCAAGGAGAGTGGACTAGAATTTGCATGTGTGAACAACAGTGACTTCACTGGGGTCAGTAGACCCCATTGAGTGAGCATGTGTACTGTCATTCACAATGACCAAGTGAGTAGAGCAATGAATCTGTATCAAATTTTGCATTAAGCCTGAACCTTCCTCTGCAGAAACTATTTAGATGATTCAGAAGATTCAGAAGGCTGCAGCTATGGACAACAGCTTCATAACAACAATGCACCTGCTCAAGCATCATGCCTTGTACAGAGTTTTGTAGTGAAACATCAAATCACCCAGGTGACTCAGCCCCCCAACAGCCCAGATTTGGTGCCCTGCAACTTCTGGCTTTTTCCAAAACTAAAATCACCTTGGAAAGGGAAGAGATTTCAGACCATTGATGAGATTAAGGGAAATATGAGAGGGCAGCTGATGGCAGTTGGGAGAACTATGTGAGGTTCCAAGGTGCCTACTTTGAAGGGGACTGAGGCATCATTGTCCTATGTACAGCGTTTCTTGTATCTTGTATGCTCTTCAATAAATGTCTCTGCTTTTCATATTACATGTCTGGATACCTTCTAGACAGACTATACATACATACTATTTGTCTGGCACTGATTTGTGTTGGTTTCCTCTGTCCATGGCAGATGTGCAGGGTCAACTTTTACTGGGAAAAGAGCTTTTGTGTGCTCTTTGGAGATCACTACACCTTTCCTCCTCCATTGTTGAAAGATCTTGCACCGACTTTTCTTGATTTGCTGGTACATACATTTTCTGGCTGACCGTTTGTAACTCTTCCTTCAGTTCTTAGGAGTTTAGAAAGCTTACTCCCCCCTGTGTTTTCTCACATGGGAAGCATATTTTCCTGGGCAGGACGACAGCCTAGCCAATTTTCTTTTGCATCAATAATACATTGATTTTAATGGAATGATCTGTCTAAACTCTGCCATCAGAGAGATAGGCCATACATAGTCACCTGGCAGACAGAGATACTGGGTGTGGGGCTCATGTCAGGTAGCTGTGATCTCCAAACTCCAGGGGAAATATGTCAAGCTTTCTGATTAAGCCATCAATGTCTCTTTCCACAAGCTTCAGGGTACATAATGCCCATAACAACCTTCCCCCTTTCCTCTTCAGTCTCTCTTTAAAAATTTTCTGCAGGTGACAAATTAGCATGAGCACTGGGTGGGAAAGAAAAACAGTTTCCCAGGCACCTTATTTACAAATCCCACTTAGGTGGCCTTGAATCTTTCTTTGGAATGCATGTGATATATAGTTACGGAATCTGAGAGATAGAGTGCTGTTTAAATCCTGTCACAAGCAAAGAATCACTAACGACTTCAGGATATGATCTATTTTGTTTTCCTAGTCAGGGTCCAGTGACTTGATAGCTGAAGTATGATGTAGGAAAATCTAAGTTATGATAGATGTACTTTCCTGCTAAGTTTTCTACTAACTATTAAATTTTTGTTGTTCCAGTTTCTTCGTTTATAACATTTTACTTGTCTCATGGTGAGAT